TTCAGGCTTAAGTGGAAGAATAAGAACCACAATGATGAAACTGTACAATTAGCTTTACAGAGAATGAACTACAGAAAAAAAAGAGTGAACTGAACTGCTGATATAAATATCAAACTCTTTCTTTTTATCTATCTATCTATCTATCTATCTATCTATCTATCTATCTATCTATCCATCTATCTATCTACCTATCATCACCTGTCTATCCATGTATCTACCTACCTATCTAATTATTTGGTGTTTTTTTTGTTTGTTTTGTTTTGTTTTTGTTTTTTTTTTTTGTCCTGACTGTCCTGAAACTCACTTTGTAGATTAGTCTAGCCTGGAACTCACAGAACTGCCTTCCTCTGCCTCGCAAAATATGGAATTAAAGGCCTGTGTCCACATACAAACAACTCTACTGGCTGTTAGGAACTCACAGAGTGTGAAACAACTATGAGGGAATCTGCATGGGACGGTTTAAGTCCCGCTATATACATGTGACAGCCTGACTTTTAATTATCGTAGCAGGAACTGTTCCTATTTCTTTGGATGGCACTTGGGAGCCTATTATTCATGATATATTGCCCTGTTGAGCCAGGGGAAGTGCTTAGCCTTTAAAAAGCTTGATGTGCCACGTTTTCTTGGTGCCCATGGGAGGCTCGCCCCTTTCCGAACAGAAACAGAAGAGGAGCAGTTTCAGTGGGGATTGGGGCTGAGGAGAGGTAGAAAAAGGGAAGGGCATGAGAGTGGGAGGGATGTAATAATAATACAAATAATAATAATAATGGCAGTGAAAAATACAGGCATGTGTCTTGATTGACCAGCACCAACATATTTCTTAAGCATGAGTTTGCAAAGTCATGGAGTATATGAGAGAACAAGGCAGCATCTGTGATTTTTGATTGGATGTTTTGTTGTTGTTGGTTGTTTGTTTTTGAGACAGGTTTTCTCTGTAGTTTTGGAGTCTGTTCGCAAAGTAGTTCTTGTAGAGCAGGCTGACCTCGAATTCACAGGGATCCACCTGCCACTACCTCCTGAGTGCTGGGATTAAAGTTCTGCACCACCACTGCCCAACTTCTGATTGGCTTTTGCTTTTGGAGTTTGCATTCCTATGTGCCTGCTGAAGAAAATCTGAAGCAGAAATGGAGCCTTACATAACATTTCAAAAACGTGACTCCTGCTCTTAGGAAAAGATTTTGGGTCACAAAACTGACAAGAGGTTATGAAGAGATGAATGTACCTCTTAATTTCTCTTTACTAGTCACAAAAATAACTTGTAATCATAAACTTTCTAAAGTCTTGTCTTTCAGGAAATAAGTGTCTTAGAGCTAGACTCAAGAGGATGCTTGTGTAAAGGTTAGCCAGCATAGAGTCATGATAATGATAATTTAATGAGCTACTAAATATAACTTGAATTCATGTATTTACAATCATCATTTGTGCAAAGTAAGAGTAAACCTCACCTCATCATACACATTATGTGTGAACAAAATTGATGTATAGAGAAAAAGGCTAATAAATAAAAGAAAATCTGAAATTACCAGAAATCGGAAATGAACCTCTGATACTAAAAGGACCCAGGAACTTTTACAACTTGAAGGATATAAGGTTGAAAGGCATATAAATATATAAGGTAAAGAATTTTAAAAGTGATGTAGAAAAGTCCAAATATTCAGACTCACAATTCAGGGTAGCTAGAGGATCAGAACAACACAAGGGACAAAATTCAGTGAGTTTTGAGTGAGGTTAAATATTTTGGGCCAACTTTTAAAGCAAAGGAAAGAAGATTGGTTAATGCCAGGAGCACATTCTGTTCCCATACCATACACAGGGCACAGGTAGAATATATACTGATATACTGGGGATTTTTATTTCCTACTTATTTATTTTATTTTATTTCTCTTTATTCTATTTATATATATATATATATTTCACTAAAATATTTAATATATATCACTAATATATATAGTACTTACAAACATATAATTCTATATACATAATTCTGACCACTTTAACTTATTTAATGTTTAAATGAAAATTTCTGATGGATTCTTGTGATATTATCCTCTATTTGTATTACTTTTGGGTTTTCAGTGCAACGTGAAACAATTATTAATATTTTAATTTTGCTGAATTTATAGTCCTATTGTAATTCAAGTCAGTAAATAACTTGAATAAAAAAGTTCTTCATGTTTATAAATATTTTATCTATTTTTCTCCTAAGTACAAATCAAAATTCATGTTATGGACTCAACACCAAAGATGTATCAATAATCACCTACTAATAGTTTCCTTGAATCATCTATCCCTCTGTATAAATGATGACATATTTTATTTAATTAATTATCTTTATTATTGTGAAATATAATTAAAGACCTGACAAGTATGACAAGAAAAAAAACTGACAGAAAATAGAATACTGAAATTTATTTGTGTCTAAGTCTTATAAATTATTTCTAGATTAGGACTTTTTATACTAAGAAACGTTGTCATCTAGTATGCATTAGTAATAAGTAGAATTCATCTTGCCTTTGATTTACTTTGAAAATTTTATAAATACTTATAAGCTCCTAAAGCACAACACACCAAAAATAAGCCAAAAAACTTTAAAGCAAGATAAAAACTTTAGTGATCTGAAATTAATGATAGGTAACGTGTTTAAAAAATGTCTAATTTGACAATATTTAAATTCTTCCTCTGTTCTTTTATCAACATACAGGAATACATAAAATCAATATGTAAACACATGATTTTAAAAATAACTTGCAAAGCATTCCATTCATTAAAAAAATGAAATGATATTAGTTCAACATATACAATGAAGTGAAGTAATCAGAACATGAGAGTTTTAGACTTCTTATGGGAATATGTGATATTATTGATGTTTCAAATCCAGATTGCTTTACTTCGTAACCAGAGAAGACATTATTACCAAAGCCTTCTTTGGGGAATAAGAGTGTATGTTTCTAAAGGTTTTCTAACACTTTTCCCTTCATTTTTACTTCTTATTTATTTGTTGTAATGTAAAAAAAAAAAACACAATGCTCTCTTAAATTAACTTGACAGGATTTATAGATGAATTTACATGGCTCATAAATTCTCTTGATTATTTGCCATAGATCAATATTTCTGTTAGATATTTCCTTACATTTCTTTTTTTATACAAAACTGTCAAAGATTAAAAAAATATAAAATAATTTTTATTACATCCTGGTAAGATGAAATTTGAATTTTGTTATGTCAGACAGGATAACAACAAAGGATGTGTTTTTATATGGTCATTGTGTTGTTAATTTTGGGAGTGATATTTATCTTCTCATTGGTACTTTATGTTTTGATTGTTAAGGTATTATATTTCTTTCTAAAGCTTCTTGGCTCTGTTCATTGCTATTTCTAGCATATAATATTGCTTCCTATATTGTCTTTAGGCTTGGGTTGTTGGATATAATTATTTTAGGTATTATATTAAAGAAAAGTTTTTTTTTTCTTTCTCCTTCAAATATGTCATATAGTTTTGCGGGGTATAGTAGTTTTGATTGGAAATTAGAGTGCATTGCCCCAGGCTTTTCTAGATTTTAAAATTTTCATTGAGACATCAATAATTATCATGATATTTTCCTTAATATGTGATTTGTGTTTCTATTCTTTTAAAGTTCAATACTCTTTCTTAGTTTTGTATATTTAGTGGTTTAAGTAGAACATACCATGGGTGCTTTATTTTTTGATACTGTCTCTTTGGTGCTTTCTGTATCTGCGAAGGTATCACTTTTATGGTTTAAGTACATTTCCTTCTGATTGTTGAATATCTGATCTATGCTTCTGGACAGCAATCAGCAATCATGATTCATCTGTTTCTTTAATTTGAATATTCAGTCTGTCCATGACATTCATATTGAACTTATGATACCTTATTATATGCATTAAATATTTTATATTCTTGCTTTTTATTAGCTCCTCAATTTCATCTTTTGAGTCCCGGTCATATATCTTCTTTTTAATGCATCCTATTTCTAAGTATTTGCTTTTAGCTTTCTATGTGGTTTATCGGGCTTTTCAATGCATTCTCCATATCTGCTTGAATTTTCCTCAATGCTTCTGTCTCTTTATTGAATTATGTTTTTACCAAATCAATCAAATCCTGGATTGTCTTAATCATTTATTTTAAATTTGTTATTTATTTTACATATCTACCACAGATTTCCTTCCCTCCCCCATCTATCCCTCTCCCCTGTCCACTCTAACTCAGTCTTCATTCAGAAAGGAGCAGGCCTTCGCAGTTGTCAACAAAGCAAGGCACATCTCATTTTGAAGCTTGTGTTTCTTGGGCACGAACCAGGCATTTATGCTCGTTAAGTTCTTTGAGTTTTCTCTGTGTCTTCTTTAAACTCTTAGAATTCTTTGGTAATGATTACTTTTGTTCTTTTAAATTCTGTGTTCATCTCGGGAATTTTCTTTGGCAATTATTTATACTGGACATTTTGGGCGGGTGAATATTGGCTTGATCTTTCATATCGTTTGTATTTTTCCAAAGAGCTCTAGGAATGTGGACTTAATTTGCTAGGACCGTGTTTAATATTGATGGAATGGTTAGAGTAGTTGTGATGGGATTAAATGTGCCTATTCTGACAAGAAAGGGACTCAAGGGAGCCTGGAAGATATGGTTAGGACACGCAGGAAGGGGACATACTTGGTCACTGAACTGAACCAAACTATTTTTGCGACTAGGAAGTATTTGGTAAAGGCGAATAAGATAGAAGCGCCTGGCTAGAAACTGGAAAACAATGTAGAGTATCTGGCTGACTGGAAATCTTGGGTGTGTCCAAAGGAAGTTTCTTTTCTCTTTGTATTTTTGATCTTTTAGATATTATATCCAAACCATAATTTCCCTTTTCTCCATGCCTCATATTTCCTCCACCTTACCTCTTCCTCAGATACACTGTTCATCTGTTTCACTTCAGAAAAAAAGTGATAGTCATCACGCCTCCTCCTAGCTCTCCAACTTTGTTCTCTCACGGTTTTCAGCCTCCGCCTCTACTCATCATGGACCCCACCTGCTCCTGTGCCACAGATGGATCCTGCTCTTGCGCCAGGTCTTGCAGATGCAAACAGTGCAAATGCACCACCTGCAAGAAAAACTGCTGCTCCTGTTGTCCCGTGGGCTGTGCGAAGTGCTCCCAGGGCTGCATCTGCAGAGAAGCTTCGGACAAGTGCAGCTGCTACGTCTGAGGTGGGATTTCCCCTCAGGTGCGTGTAAACAGAACAATGTGCAGAAAGTAACCTTTTTTTTTTACAACCCTGGCCTGTTTTCCACAACTCTTTATATATAGCATGTAACAGATAATAAAAAGCGTTGACTTGAAAAAAAAAGAAAAAAAAAAGAAAAGTGATAGTAACGAAATCCTACTTAACAAGTAACAACCCTACTAGGCATAAACATTCATATCAAGCCGGATGAGGCAACCTAGTAGGAGGAAAGGGGTCCCAAGACCAGCAAAAGAATCAGAGACACGCCAATCACACCAGAACTCCTAGATATACAACCATAATATTTATACAGAGGACCTAGCTGGCACCTATAAAGAGTTCATGTTTGTCACTTCGGTATCTGTGAGCCCCTATGAGCTCTGTTTAGTTGATTCCGTGGTTCCTGTTCTCATAGAGTTCTGAACTCTCCTGGCTCCTTAAATCCTTCCTTCCCCTCTTCTTTGCATTTCTTACTGCTCTATTTAATATTTAGTTTTGGGTTTCTGCATCTGGTTCCATCAGTTTCTGCTTGAAGTTTCTTTGAGAAATGGGCTAGGATCCTGTCAGTGAGCATAACAGAATGCTGTTAGAAATCATTTCATTGACTATCTATCTATCTATCTATCTATCTATCTATCTATCTATCTATCTATCTATC